CATTCCTGCCCACACCTGCTGGCCCAGCTTTAGTTTGATGAGCTTTAGTTAAAGCGCCCCCACCACCATTTTGAAGTGTGGGAATGCTGATACATGAGATGCAAAGGCTGGCTGGAGTACATTAATTAGCACACTCCAGCAGACCTGATTAACGGAGTCTGCTCCAACATGCTGTAATTGCAGCACATCGGAGCAGTCTCCCATCACATCTACAGGCACCCTAAGCTTTTAAATCATATGACCAGCAAAGGTTTTATGCTGTTCTTGATTACTCAGAAGTGAAGACTGAAGGAGATGTTACACTTTATAGTCTTGGATCACCCAATGAAAGGTCTTCTCTATACTTCTCATAGCAAAAGCATGCCACATAGCAACATCTTTGCAGCACTTAGGGTTGGAGTAGAAGAAAGGCAGTGGAATTCCTTGGCAACGGTGAACAGAGTTCCCCTCTGGTAAGTAAAATGCAGCAATTTGAGCAAATGCCATTCACAGTTCAGAAGTTCTCCTGGTCAGCACAGTAGCTGCTGGAAATGAAATTTGACCAAGAAGGATCAAGACAAGACAGGGCTCCCAGGTCCAACTGGTGGATGATTGGTGCTTAAGGTATCTGGAGACTCCACAGGCTGAAAAACCGTGAAAACATTTTGAAAAAAGCACTTCACATGGACTAAATCTTATGGACCCATTATGAATATTTAATCTAACTTCCTGCGCAACACGCCATAAGCTTTCATCCAGCACTGACTGCATTGTGACCAGTAACTTGTAGCTGAACTGGTGAATGTAGATCAGATACCTTTCTGAAATACCTTTCAGAAATATACATCTGGTCTATCTTTTCAGACTCCAAATGATGCCAAATCCACTGTGTCCTTTGGCAGGTGGTTTCCCATGGGTCATTACCTTCCCCACCTTTAAAATATACTTCTATTTCCTGATTGAGTATTTTTTTAACTTCAGCTTCCAGCCGCCAGATCCTGCCTTTGATACTGATGGGCTCTTAAATGTAAGAGACAAGTAACTTCTCCCTGGGTAAGTATCCCTAAACTCATCAAATCATATTTCTTCTTTCACTTTAAGACAATAGCACTTTACAGAAATATAATTAAAATGACAAATTAAGTTCCGCTGCCACCACCTCACCTCCCTCTGAAGATCCCTTTTAAACAGTGTATATCCTTTAAGTTTTGCATGTGTACTCCCTCCAGGGCAAAGAATAATTTTAATTTGAATTTAAGATGATATAGACCTGCCATTTCTGAGACACAAAACTTTAAAATTAGATGTAATGTGTTTTTAGAATATTCTCTGGACATACTCAAGGAGATAACCTAAAAACTTCACATTTGCTTTACGGAGAAGTTTCCCTCAGAGCTAGTCTACCTGTGAAGTTACACCCAGTTAACTTTGTGCAGATGTTCTTACCCAAAATAAGGGCTTCATTCAAGAATAAAAGTGCAGATTCTAGGAGTTCATAAGGAACAGTTGTTCTGTTTTACATTCACACTTAACTTTAATCTAAATTAACTTCCCTGTATAAACTAGCCCTTTGCAGTAATCTGGCTCTCTGTATGGTATTATCTGAGTGCCACACTATCATTTCAGCTTTTATCCTCACTGCACTACTGCTATTCCTATGTCAAAAGAGAATTAAGGGCCCAGAAGTGAAGTGTCGAGGTCAATGAAAGAGTCATTTTTAGAGAGCATGCAGCTGAACCCTCTTTGCTCAAGTCCCAAGGTAGCTCATTAGCCCCTATACCATCCTGTCTATTATCTGTTAGTGCAAAGGTTTACTTCTGGCAAGATAAGCAGCTGCTTTTAGGAACTTTACAGTGCAGATTGCAGGATGTCTGAAGCCTCCATCCATCCGGTCATAGCTTGGACATTACAATTCTGCCAAATGTATGGTGAGCTCAGCTGGCTTCATCAAGTATGAAATGCTCCAGCTCCAGGGGAGGATAAACTGTGCTGATGCAGTCCACAGAGTTTACAAACTCCCATCTGTGAAACTACTCAACTTCAGAAAAACATGCTGACAAAGCCATCACACTCTCTCAGCTACAAAAGAGCTGCTGGGGTTTAAAGAACATTTAACTAGAGCTAGATTCAGCAGGACACAGCCTGGGCCAGTCTACTGATAGTGTAAACTGACAAGATACCTTGATAGACAGTTCTGATAACTCAGACAATCTGCAAAGTGTATTATCTGGCACAGAGCGAAGATAGTAACTCTCAAATCATCAGCTCCTGCTACATGTGAGAATTTACATTTCTAAGCTTGCATTTTCAGCAAAAAGAAAAAAAAACAGACATGGAAGCTATTTCTGAAGTGAAAACTGGCATTCAAGAGATGCTGCCAGGGTTTATGTTATTTTAGTTCAAGAATGTATCTATTATGCTACTGAAGAGAGATCATTTAAAACACTGCTGTCAAAATACAAACCACCTGGAAGTGCTTCACAATCAGTGAAACAGAAGGCTCTGCGAAGTCAAGCAGTGAGGTCACAGGCACCAAATATTCAGTGCCTCACTCACTGAAGGAGAGAGACAAGTCTCTCCATTGCTCATTTAACAAAGCAAAGCCAATACTGGAACAGATTCTCCTCTCACTGACTGCAAGGGGAGTTCAACAGAGCAGGAACAGGTCCTTCCTCGGCAACAGGCTGATATATGCACGTAATAATGAAAAAAAACAGGTAATGTAGTTTGTAACTGTGGTGGAAAAGGAGAAATCTGAAAGCCAGAGATTGAGAATTCAGAAAGTACAAACTTTGGGCGTCTATACACGTGGTCTGGGGTGGAGGAGGCAGTGCTTTAATTAGAGTGGCTCCAGGAGCTGCTCTCAGTACCGTGTCCACAGCATCACGTGTATTCAGCGTCCCACACTTCAAAATGGTAACAGGAAAAGCTCGTTCAATGAGCTTTAGTTAAAACACCCCTGCTGCCATTTTGAAATGCAGGGATGCTGAATACACGTGATGCAGAGGCTGCTGGAGCATGCTAATTAGCACACTCCAGAAGACTTGCAGCAGACTCAGTTAATGAAGTCTGCTCCAACGCATGCTAATTAGCATGCATCAGAGCAGAGGTCTGTCATGCGTATAGGCGCCCTTTGATTTCATCTGATTTAGGTTTACTATGCTGCATGTCAAACCCGCAAGGCCTATCACAGTCATATTACTTAGATCATTATCAACATACAAATGGCAAAAATATTGTGTCCAGACACTGAAAAGCTGATATGAGACTGCCAGTTCAGCAGTAATTTAATCGCTGGCAGATACTGCCCCTTTTGAAAGCATGTATGATAAAGGTATCTGGAATAATTATATTTCATATACTGCCAGTCAGGCGATTAACCTTTTAAGCTTTCCCATCTACCACTTTTTTGTCTTTCTTTTTTCCTCTAAAACAAGATAAGACATACCTTTATAATACAATTCATATTTCTATATTTCAATCTAGGGTGATCACCTACTAATAAGAGAAATATTTATGCAAATATCTTCTGTAGCCACTTGTGACACCACAATGATTCCGTTTAGATTAAAAAGATGGTCATGGAATGCGGAGGAACCAGGTGAATGGGGACAGGTTGCATGAGAGGATAGGGCCAACCAGCTCCTTTAGGAAAGAAAAAACTTCAGATGAAGCAAGGATGGCACAGACTAGATTAGATCCTAGTATCTGCAGCATATATTTTCTACTGCCATCATAAAGTTTTAAGAGGACAGAAAATGAAGCAGGTAAAACTGAAAGCTATAAATGTGCATACCACAGGTTGTACGTGTAATCTTAAATGCAACTAGCATAACAAGCATAAGGAGAAATGTATATTCTGAATTGGTTAAGCACCCAACAAGGAAACAAAGAAGAACATTCTGCCTCATGGGCACTGGTTCTACAGGCAGGGATGTGCAGGGAGATTGCAGCTCTGCCCCGGACCCCAGCCCTGTGCTGTCACCACCCCCACGATCCTGGCCCCAGCCCATGCCCACCCATCCAGCTGCCAGACGCTGCTCCCTGTCTACCCACAGGAGCCCTGGGTCAGTCGCCCACCTGCTCTGTCCAGTGCCTCTGGCAGCAGGTGCGGGGTAGATGGGTCAGGATGCCCAGGCAGCAGAGCAGGGTACAGTGGCAACAGTAACACAGACAGTGGCAGCCAGAAGGAGTCCAGACACTGTGCTGCCCGCACCCTACCACGCACATAGGGGAGGAAGAACTGGCCGCACATACCACGGCCCAGGCTACCCCCCATGCCTGGGCTGTGCCGAGCCAAGGGGCGTGCCGTAGGAAGGACAGAATCCCTTGGTGGGCCGAATCCAGCCCACAGGCCGTATTTTTCCCACCCCTGAATTTACACTGCGGTGGCAGATAACCCAGAATGGCTGCCCAGGAAATAGGCTCTGCCCACCAAATTCCTGTTTCGTGTGCATCATGCCCAGAAATGGGGTGATGAAGATCCATGGCAGGAACCCCACATCCCACCCAGACCTGCTTCTGGTGTGCTCAACAGCAGGCATCCCAGGGTGCCCTCACTGCCCCATTCTGAGACACAGTGAAAAGAGTGATGGCTACAGAGAACCTCATATAAGCACCTTGGCTGGTCACATCAAAGAGAGGCTGAAACTCCAGAAAGGACTCAGTCTCACCCTAGCCAAGAAAGAGAAAGATTCCCGCCACAAACTCTCACCTTAGCACCCTCTCCCCATTTCAGCAGGCAAGGTCCCCCCTTACCTTTAATAAGCTCTGGCTTGTAGGCTTTCCTAAGCTGTTCTAGGAAGTTGTTGTAAAATGGCTCTGATTGTTCTGACGGCATAGCCATGTGATAGTCTGGCTTGTTGCCTTTCAAGATACACTGAAGAGTGAACTGGCTGACACACAGCACCTCGTACTGCTTGTCCATTACACTCTTAGACCAGTGTTTCCCACTTTCATCTTCAAACACACGCAAGTTCAAGATCTTTCGAACCCTAAGGGGAAAGAAACAGATAGTTCCCAATTATCGTATGCAAGGTCAGCAAATGCAAATAGCATGCAGGCACTGATGCCAATGCAGGTGAACACCAAAAAGCTACCCACTTATTCTACCTACAAAATATTAATTCATCCCTTCCTCCAGCAACTAAGTCTTGTCAGACATTACGTGGAATCACAGGCAGGACAGCCCTTCCAAACATGTATTTTACCTTCATGCTCTTTTATAAATATCTTCATTGAAGCACCTTGGATAAAACAGGGGATTTGTATGGAAAAATGAAAGGCTAGAGCAGAGGTTGAAAACTTACGGCCTGCAGATCTGAACTGGCTCACAACAATGGGGAGCAGCAATATACAGCAGAGAATTACAAGGCGCAAGCTGGAGAAAATGCCCCTCTGCCACATATGGCTGATCCTCACTGTTGCAGGTTGATCTCCTATGCCGAGGACTGTTCTCTTGCCCCATAACTACAGCCTATATTTATCTGCACTGCCAAATTTTTGGCTCTCCATTATCATTTGCAAGAGCATTTGACAGCAACTGAGTAGCAGAGTACAAGCATGTGAAAGCAGTCCTCAGCAGAGCTGGGGCACTGTTGAGGGGATAGGTGGCCTTATCACAAGGGGTGGCTACTTTTCCAAAAGACTGCCAACTCTAGGACTAGAGGATGACAGTTATCAAAACCACTGCAGTTGTATTTAACTTGCAAACAGGCAAAAATTATGCCATGTGCACGTGTATCTCATGCTGGGACATTTCTAGCCCATAAGAATACAACTGCCCTCACATCAGTCTGGATTCTTCTAATTCTCCCTTTAACTTTTCCTGCCTTCATCGTTTACATAGTAGCGACTCCTGTAAGGAGTACACCCAGGACATAGAACTTCAGTCCTTATGTTAAGGCCCCTTAACCTTATGACATTTTGGGTGCCTGTACACAAGCCCAGAGGCTGCTCCAACGTGCTGTAATTACAGAGCATCGAAGCTCAGTAATTACCATGCTCCAGTCAGCCTCCACATCTCGTGTATCAGGGTCCCTGCACTTCAAAATGGAGGGAGGGGTGCTTTATTTGAAGTTTGTTCGACAAGGTTAAGATAAAGCACCCCCGGCACCATTTTGAAGCACTGGGATGCTGATACATGAGACGCTCCAAGTGCTTTAATTGGAGCGGCTCTCGGAGCTGCTCTAACTAAAGTGCCCTCCCCTCCCCCTTCCTGAAGCATGTGTAAAAATGCCCTTTATGTTTTGTGCTACTTGAACAGTGACATCCCTAGCATAATATAAAGCTGCAACTTAAGTATCATCAAGCTTCAGCTGTTGCCTTCTGACTTATGGCACAGCAGGATAGCCATCCTCACTGATTTCTGTACATCAAAGATGCATGGAAACTGTTCCTCAACAAAGCAGGAGCTGAAGTGCTGCAGGAAGATGTGCAGCAGGGCCTTAAATTACCATCCCTGTTCCATTTAGACATTGAAATTGGCACTGAAGCTGCCTCACTTGCAGGTTTCAGAGAGAATGTTTCTTTCAAAGGCAAGAAGCAAGAACGCTAACACAGACAGTGGCAGCCAGAAGGCAAGAAGCTAGAGTACTAAAGCAAGAATGTGATAGTGACCCAGTAAGTTAATATGCTGAGTACATAGGAAACACAAGAGAGGCTAGTCCAGCTTTGCACAAAGGCGTGGGTGCCAAGAGGCTGCTCCGATGCGCCATAATTACAGCGCGTCAGAGCAGACTCATAGTTTCATAGTTTCTAGGGTCGGAAGGGACCTGGGCAGATCATCTAGGCCGACCCCCTGCCATGGCAGGAAAGAGTACTGGGGGTCAAACAACCCCAGCAAGATGGTCATCTAACCTCCTCTTAAAAACCCCCAGGGTGGGAGCCTGCACCACCTCACTTGGAAGCTGGTTCCAGACCCTAGCCACCCTGACCGTGAAGTAGCGCCTCCTGATGTCCAACTTAAACCTTCCCTCCGCCAGCTTGTGACCGTTATAAATCAATCAAACCGACTCAATCAAGTCGGCTAGAGTGTGTTAATTAGCACACTCCAGCCAGCCTCCATGTCTTGTGTATCAGCATTCCCCTGCTTCAAAATGGCAGGGGTGCTTTAACTAAAGCTCATTGAATGAGCATTGAATGAGATTTAGTTAAAGCACCCCGCCACTATTTTGAACCACAGGGATGCTGATACATAAAACCCTGCGGCACTTTAATTAGAGTGGCTCACAGAGTCAGTCTAATTAAAGCCCCCCCCGAGCATACGTAAAAGCATGCCATGTTTTTAGTTACACTGTCTATTGTCTAGGAGATCTGGTAGCCAATAGAACGTGTTATTCACAACTCTACTCACTAATACTTTTCCAGCATCCAATGAAAGCTGGTTTCACCCACCAACCAGACTCCTCTTTCTCCAGTAGCCTGTAACACCAGCATTCCTCTTTTCCTGTAAATGTCTGACACCCCGGTATAGAACTTAAATGAGTTGGTGAGCCATAAGTCCTGCCAGCAACCACAGGGTGGGCCACAACCAGAGGGTGGGTCATCTGTTCAGATGACCCACCTCCAGATCCAGCCCACTGGGCTTCTTGCTGTAGCAGCTGGCACTTCTATATTGATGAGGCCAGCACACAGGGGGTTAAAGACTCTCCCACTCATCCACCTTTTTCTCATTGCCAATGGAAATTGAAAAACAGTAGTTTGGTGATGGGTAAGTGGGGGCACAAGGAGGCGAGCAGCAGCATAAACCCACTAGGAGCTGGCCCAGGCCAACACAGTGGCTCTGACAGCCACAGCAACAAGCCCCCAGGGACCAGATGCAGAGATAGATCATCCAGCCCACAGAAAGCCCTGCAGATCAGATGACCCACCTCCCACAGAAAGCCCTGCAGATCAGATGACCCCAGTCCGCAGCCATAGGACTGTATGGAACAGGAGTGTCAAACATATATTAACAATAGCCCAAATGGTCTTATCACTTTCCTATAAACTTTCCAGAAGAGCTAAATGTTTTATGTACAGATTGAAATGAGAGCATAAGTTCTCTCACATCAAACGTCTCTCAAACACGATGTTATTAATATAAATTCCCAGAAGTGACATAGAGTAGATGTTACAACAGGAATACCCCAAAAACACCCAAAGGTTTGGTGGTTCTTCTAGGAAAAGAAAAGTTAAAACAGGGTTTTCCACAGGGCTGCATAAAAAGAAATAAAAACTATAACTAGAAGGTCCACATTCAAAGTAAAAATCTAAAAAGGAATCTACATGGAAAGAACCCCTTAAAATACAGTTCATATACTACTGAATCAAAGGTAGTAACATACAGGCAAAGAACTGAATAGAAAGGACCACTATATGTACATCATAACTTACATGTGTTCCAGCTCTCTCTGAGTGTCCTCCAAAGAAATACCCAGCAACACACAGATCCCCCGTCCAATGGAACTTATTTGTTCTCCACCCACTGGGGAAGAAAAAATGAAAAAGGTAAAAATGAACACACTCTCCAGTTTTCTGTCACAGGGAAGGATCAGTTCTGTGACATACCAGTACAACCATCATAGCAAACACTTTCTCAAAGTTTCTTTAGTCATGTCATTAAACTTGATTTTTTAAGAGGTCAGGTCACTGTCTCCAGGATGTCCACTGAGATACACCAACTCGTTTTGAGAAAGAGGACTGAAGGTCTGCAAGTGAAAAGTTACTTTCCTGGTCATTTTAGCAGCTTTCAATGCTGTGAAGTTGGAAGCAGTGTACCTGCTGTTCCAGCCTTCCAAATACTGTCTAGTAGAAGTGTCATCACGGGTGTAAAAAACAGTATTAGGTGGTCCTTGTTTGTGAGACAACCAGCAGCCCCATTAAAATGATTTACTAAGTGAAAGGAAAACTGGGCAGCTCAATATGCCTACTCCAATGTTTCAAAATCTTTCAATATAGAACTATAGCACTGTAATTTTCATTGGAATCAATAAGATTCATACACTTGGCTCATAAAACCCTTTCAAAATTTTATCCAAGTATCTGAAATCGGTACACTTACCTCATTGCTTCATTGAAGACTTCCCCCAAATAACATTTGTTTTTAAAAAAATTAATTTATAGGAGTTTCAGCTGTGCAAAAAAGCAATTTGCAGTTGATGATTTGGCTGTTCAGGTCCTCATAGCCTTTGCAGTCTCCACAGAACACAACCCCACATAAACTGGCCAGTTCTGACCCATCGCAATAACACAACAATCATTTTCTTATAGTATAAAATAATAGCCAGTCACTGTATGCCCATTTTCATATGCTAAGGAGATCTGAAAACATTTCTGTTGATACATCATGGACAAACCTTGGAATACGGGATTTATTCTATACCTGAAAAAGCACCAAGACACACACCTTTTGTGTTAAAAATAAGGTCGTCCCAGGACAAAGAAAAAAATAGGCAGCATCCCACAAAACAGAAAATAAATGGCCGTGGAAGATACCCCTGAACAATATCCTGGCTATCTTTGAGCATGCATTGGACCAAAGGGTCTAGGAAAGCATGACTGACTGCACAGCACACTTGGAAGTCAACAGATTTGGACAATTTCACATAAGAGTTGAGCAGGAGCTAAGTGCAGAGTTAGCGGCTGCTCTCAGAAACTACCTTGTCCTGATATATATTTTGAGGCAATAGCAAGGGGTCTCCAGCTTGGCCACTGCCATTTTAGCCAACACAGCAGCCTTTGCCTCAGATTGGCAGGTCCCAAACCATTCAGGACCACAGAAAGTGTTCAGTTTTTTACTTCTATTACATCCAGAAACCAATTCCCAGTAAGTACTGGGGTCACATCGGGATGCTTTACTTAAGAAGCTGCTGCACTATGCAGCAACTTCAGCGGTCTGACCATGTATTAAGCATCTTGTCACTTTCTAATAAGATCAGTGCAAAGAGTCACAGCAGTAGGGACTGCTTTTAGATGAAACAGTTCCAACCTCCCGGCCAGAGACAGAAGACCAATCCCTTCTATGTAACAACTGAGTTTACATAATATGCTCAATAATTAATCCAAAATGCATCTGGAGTCCTGTTGCTGTTGCGAACTGATTTATTAAGCAATATTTGCTTGTATTGTAGTCAATGTTAGTAAATATGCAGAAAACAGAAAGGCAGTAGATAATAACTACTAAGAACAAATTGGAGGCAATTAATTTGCGGAGGAGGATTCACCAAGCAGAAGAAAGATGGGCAGAAATCCAGCACTCCAGAGTATGCAAACAAAAGGTGATGATCAGGTCACAAACAGAACAGGTCAACTGCAGAAGTGAAGCTGGAGGAAAAGCATCAGTTCTTCACAGGAGCCCTTTAAGAAGTTTCATATATACCAATAAAGTCCTTTTAAACTTAACCAGTAGGCTCACAGGCAGGCAGCCTGGCTCACTGAAGTGCAGAGTCTGAATATACCAGCTCTTTGCACCAATATAGGTACCAAAGGTTTACTAAGGAGGTTATCCTCATCACCCCCATTTTACAAGTGGAGAAAATGACAGAGGAAGGTCAAATGACTTGCTCAGTGTCACCCAGCAGGCCAGTGTCAGAGTTGGGAATGGAGTCCAAGTGTCCCAAGCCCTGGGCCAGGGCTCTATCCCATATCCCCAGAGAGAAGGCTCTACACTTCTCCTGGGAGAACTACTAGTGCCTGCCTCTACAGCTGCTCCAACATTCTCAACAGATTGTCTTTCCTTCCCTTTCTGCTACAATGCAAAGATCCTGGTCTTTTCTCATGTGACAGTGATGATTCTCAACCAGGGTGCCTTGCGATCCTTTCAAGGGTGTTGTGGGGTGCCACACAATGTTAACACTGTTAGGTGTATGAACATGATTCAAAAGATAAAGCCAGATCTTCCATGTGGGAACCCTTAGTGTTAAAAGCATTCTGACCTGTTGTGCTGTGAGTTCTTTGCAACAGAAGAATTACTCTATTATTCTTCTGTAGTCAAAAATCAAGTGAAAACTGGCATATTTTGAGCGGTGGCTCAAATCTATCAAAAGATGCCCTGAGTCTATCAAGGGTGATTGTGCTATAGCAACTTGGGATAGCTCTGAGCAGCAACAAAGGCATTACGGCAAGCTGGCTGTAGACTGTGGGAACAGAGCTTAATGCTTGGAAGGTTTTCTTTGCAGCCAGTGGAGGTATAAGCATTTTTCTTATTATTTTTTTAAGGAAGGTGTATAATGCAAACTCCACTCGCATGCGTAGCAGGTAAACATACAATATGCTTAACAATCCAGCCCCAATTTGTGACCTATTCCTTATATAAGTGGTTCTCAACCTTTTAGACTGGAAGCAACCCTTGGAAAATGCCAGGTCTTAGTTTTCACTGTTTTTGACTACAGAAAAATAATGGATCAATTCTTTTGTTACAAATGACTCACAAAGACCACAACGGTCAGCAAGTTTGTGATATTATGGATTCCTATTCAAAATCTCTGGATTTACCTTGTGAATCCAGCTTGCACACCTAACAGGACTAACATTCCCTGACACCCCACAGCACCCTTGAAAGGATCTCAAGACAGCCTGGTTGAGTCTCACAGGGCACATCTACATATGCACTTTAATGTGCAGTAGCCTATTTTACCATGCATTAAAGTGTCATGTAAAAAAATACAAATATGCTAATGCACAGTAAAATAGGCTACTGCACATTAAGTGTCACTTAAAAACCATGCGCTTGCAGTACTGCTCATTATGGCAGCCTACTTCACATTTTGTTAGTACTTCACATTAGAGGGCATTTATACACATACCTTGTCATCCTGCGACACACCAGAGATCCAGTGGGTTGGATGCACACTGTGCTGTTTCACATGCAGTTGTATAAGTGGCAAAATGCACGTCAGCATGCAGAAAATGACAGCGGCACGCTTTTGAACTAAAACACCTTTGATGTGTTTTAGTTCAAAAGTGTGTTGCCATTTTCAATGTTTTAGTTCAAAAGCCGTCGCCATTTTCTCAGGGCTGACACATTTCACTGTTTATACAACTCCATTTGCTGGCGCTGCAGTGCAAGCATGTGTACAAATGCCTGGAGGTACTAAATTTAATACACATTAAGAAAAGTGCATTAATACGCATATAGACACACTCACTGGCTTATACCGTAACCAGCTCTGAGATCTGCAGATCAGCTCAGGTGCCTAAACCTTACACATGTAACGTTTGTACCTCTTAACTACTTACACTTGCCATTCCTAGCACATCCCAGGGAAACAACTGGCATAAGAAGCCACCTGTCTGGGAGAGTTCAGATGGGGATGACCCTGTCTTGAGCAGGGATCACTATGTGACCTCCAGAGCTCCCTCCCAGCCCTATCTATGTCTCTGTGACTCCATGAAAATGGCAGAAGCCAGCCCCATCTGCAGTATCTATCCCCCCGCCTTGTTAAGCCTCTTCTGGCCACCAAGCAGTGGCTATTGGGGCTTTGCCAAGCCATAAGGAGCCTGGCTTAGTTTTGGGCAGCCAAGTCCCCGAGAAGCACAATGCTGACCCAGCCCGAGGCGCGGGGCCCCTCACAGAATCCTAGAAAAGTGGGACTGGAAGGGACCTCAGAGGTCATCTAGTCCAGCGTTTCTCAACCCCTGGGTCGCAACCCAAAAGTGGGTCACAAGGATACATAAAAGGGTTGTGAACAAACTTTAAAAATGGACCAACAAACTTTAAGAGAGAAAAACACGGGAAGCTGTGGCTTTTCCCTTGGAGGCTGGCAGAGCTCCAGTCTGCAAGGAGCTACTTGGGGGCCCCCCATTCCCCACACACACCCCCACCCCACAAACGGGGGTGGTGGGGCTGGGGCCTGGGGGCAGTGGGTCAGGAGTGAGGGGCACTGGGTCAGGACAGGCCAATGGATCCTGGTCCAAAAAAGGTTGAGACCCACTGCTCTAGTCCAACTCCCTGCCCGAGACAGGACCATCCCTATCTCACTCATTCCATACAAACCCATCCTCTAACCTCTTAGCTAAACTACAGTCAGCCCTGACACAACACAAGACTTAACACCCTTATCTGCAAACTGCCTTGCTCTTGTGGCCTTTGGTTAAGGGCAAGTGAGACTCGGGGGCATCCGAACCCCAAGCCCACAGGCTCAGGCCTGCACGTAGGATGCCCGCTGATGGATTTGGGAGTATCTGAAGCCCCCTGCTGAAAAGTGTGGGGTGGAGGAGGATACTGGCCGGCTGCAGTACCACCTATGGTGTTTGAACAACCGAGCGTTGCTCAGTCGAGAGGATCCGGAACCGATCTGGCTAATTTGACCTGGGATACGAACAGTTTTCTAAAAATAAAATAAAATAATAACAGTCTGCAAACAATAAAGCAGGGGGACCAGAGCCAACATCCTGCCGCAGCAGAGACTGTTGATGCCTGCTGGAGGGCTCCCCAGGAGCGGGCCAGGCCCGGGCCACGCAGGAAAGCAGCCCCCTCCCACACCA